GCAGCTGGGAACAATTTAAAAAAATGGAAGGTTACCTATTTTTTGTTGGAGGCACATTTTTCCCAAGTTATCCCAACACCAATGGGTGATTGAAGGGTGACTGTAACCATTTTCATTGCACATCAAAGTACTGCATGGGAAACTCGAAAACGTTCTCCAAATGGGCACATGATCCCAGAGATAGTTGGCATCCCTAGCTGACTGGTGGTTTCGAGATATTAGAGCTATGTTCCATCTCAACAAATATGGCCAGATTTACATGTTTATAACTATATTTTATGTTTGCGGTTAATCTCCAAATGGAACAATTTGTTTACATTCAGATATTTTTGTTTGTTTGGTTTCCATTTAAAAAACATGCCAATTTGTCTACAATCGAATGGTCTTTATTGCGATATTTTCCATCGCATGAAATGGGACAGTTTGTTTACATTTGCGTGTTGGTTTTTGATGTTTTGTCCTAGAAGAATAATGTGTCCAGTTCACATGATGATGTTTTTTTTTAATGGATATTGTTATTAAATCAGTTGTATCCATAATCTCGTAATGAAATGGCCCTTTTGTGTCCCACATTTGCCATTTTCGAAGTGAAAAAGGAAGTGCTGCAGATCAGCCACGCGAAGCGCCCATCGGCGGCTGCCATTTTGGCCAGCAGTGCCTTGGCAGATTTTTTTTCGCCAGCGATGACTTGGTGATTTTTCATGGGGGTTTAACAAACAACGGGGTTTAATGGAAATTATAAGAATCTAATCACGGTGATATAATATGAACTAATATGATATAATGGGATGTAAATCCGGATTTGCCCTCGAACTAACATAGCTATTCAACATGGCTATTTATATGGTTTATATACCAATAAAAACAGATGATTCTCCATAGTTATACTAGGTTACCGGAGGGTATAAGTTGGTTTATAAACCCATGATTAGTATAGTTGGTACAAATAGACATATATATATACACACATAACTACAGTCGGTTTGTAACTATGGACGTATATAATGTGGGTACCATTATCTATCTATGTATATATATATATATAACTAGAGTTTGTTTATAAACCCATGAGTACTATAGTTGGTACAGCAGTAATATAGATACATGGCACGCATATATATATATATATACACACACATATAACTACAGTTGGTGTATAACTATAGAGGTATCTAAGGGGGTGCCATTGTCTATATATATATAAATTCAACTAGAGTTTGCTTTTAAGCCCATGAATAGTATAGTTATATCCACCATAAACCCGAACGTTAACCAAGTCATGTGCGTCAACTGAGCTATCGATTGAGGGCCCCCTTGTATGGATTTCTCATGATTTCTCCATGGTTGTTCCCGTGCACATTATCGACATTCATTGCATTTTAAAGGTAGGAATTATATATATATATATACATTCATATTGTATATATATATATGTGTTATATGTATATATATATATATATACATGTTATATATGTATATACAGTGTGGATTCAATTCTATGTTAGTTTACGGGAGGCTACTGAATGCGCAGTTTTCATTAGAAGGTCTGGGTGCGTAAACTCCATTTACCACATTAATGAGGTTTTTCTGCATTGAAAAGTGCTGTATAAGTTTTATTTTGATTTCATATCCAACATGATTATACCCAACTGCATCCACCGGCTTGCTGCCAAGGCAGCAATATGTCTGTGCTTCGCTCAGCTATGGCTATATCAAGAGCCTTGCTTGCAGAGGATCCGGAGTATCAATATATTTGCGGTGGATAGAAAGGGTCTTTGATGTCCATCAGTGCCATCAATTTGATGTCACACATGATGTGTGACATGTCCAAATCTTCGAAACTTGGTTCTTTGAGGTTGTTGTTCCTGGTTCAAGTGTGGCCTTGAGTGTGTGTGTGTGATCTATAGTCGACCTTTCCCTGATGGCAATCCACGTGCATTCCTTGTTGGTAGCCCAGCTGGACTTGGAAGACTTCACATCACAATCGTGCATTTTTTCCTTCAATATGTTTGACAAGGAAAAACACACACAATGAGAGAGAGAGAGAGATATGGACATGTTTAGTTATGTTCTGTGTAAGTGTTTGTCCATTGCTACCTCAGTTTACCGGAGGATGAGCTAGATAGCATCATAAGCTGGTCATGGGTTGGTCGCATGTTCTTGAACTCTAGCAAGAGACTTGGTAGGTGATCAAGAGATATCAAGAGATATGAAGAGCATGTTTCTACCCAGAGATACCATGAGATATAAAGAACATGTTTCTACCGCAATCATACCAGCATCAGCATCAGGTTAGGATATACTGTATCACCAGAGCATTTCACATTGGAATCCCTAAATGATCACCCCATTTGGAGCATCTGAAGCCAAGGATCTACAACTGGTGAGGTAGATCAACACATGAAGGACTGGGCAGCTGCCGTGCAGATGGAGTTTGTGGTTTGCCCTTTGTGCTTCATATGAAGGGACTACATTGCAGTATTACTATATAGGTTGATATGTATATATGATTCTATATGTACACGTAAAATCTGGGCCTACATTTTTTCTCAGCAGGTCACTAGCACACACACACACATGTTAATATATATATATATTATACATGCACATATGTTGCCTTCCTATACCATGATGAAACATGATGGAAGTTGAGGGCTGGAACCTCATGCGAGGACACCAAAAAGTTATTGCAGAAGTCACTTGGATTGCAGGAAAGCCGCGCGTTTTTCTTTGTGGAAAACCAAACATAGAAAAGTTGGAAAGTGGAACATCCTGGACATAATAGGCATAGGTAGATATCATCTTTACCATCCTGGAAAGCACTTTTGTGGGGGTTGCTATATGATTGATCATACAACTATTACTGTACAACTGCCATTTTGGGGCAGACAGAGCGCGGTGGGGGAGTAAGGTCTCAAAGTGTTTTAGTGGAAAGAGGGTTCCACTTTAGGCATTTCTTTGGAGCAGTTCTCGTTGCCGAGAAATCCTTGTCAAAATATGGAGTTTGTTTGGAAATAAGTTACCTCATCACCCACCCATATATAATCATTATTTCCCAACTGTGAAAATCTGATTCGCATGCCATTCTGGGTAGCCTGCCACAACATTTTCAGACACACCCATTTTGCTTGTGGGGGAGACCATGACAAGCATATGGGTCTGTCTGAGCATATGGGTCTGTCTGAAACTGGAGGATGCCCCAAAATTGCTACATAGTCCAGAAAAAAAAACATGATCAGCCATGAAATTTTGGGGTAACCCTATCTTCAGTCTACTCAGTCTACTCCTTTGGGGTTATCATACGTCAAGCTGAGTCCGAAATCTATTCGGATCTGCAAGTGCCCAAAGGGGTAATTACTCAACCATGATGGAAAACCTGCCAGACTAGATGTTTCATGATCATGATTTTCCGCAGTAAAGCCTCCATTTAGTTCGGGAGTTCCCTGCTCGCTTGGGATCCAACCAGCTGCGAGCATCAGGTCTTTGCACGCTCAAGGTCTGCGTAGCAGGAGCATCTGCAAAATTTGAGGCGTCGATGCTCCCGGCGACACAAAAGAGGTCGCGTGTGGAGACCGGCCTTGAATGAATCATTCCCGGGGGATGGATCCCTACGGCTACTTGAAGAGGTGGCTGTCCGCAGTGCCTGGGCCCTCCAGTCGCAGCCTCGCAGCTAATGAAATCGCTGAGTCACAACCATTATGGGGAGAATCGCCCTGTCTGTGGGTATACACACGTACACATATATGTTCATTTTCATGTAGGGATGCTAATCATGAACAGTGGATTTCTCCAAAATATGGGGGTGCCCCAATTTTCAGGTGATTTAACATGTACATATCATCATGAGGATAATTATTTAAGACAAACTCTTTTGATGTCGGGTAGAGTCAAATGTTTTTGTTGTAAGGGAATTGGTGGATATTAAAAAATGGAACGACATGGTTTTATAGTTGTTATTTTTCTTTTCAGTTTTTTTTTGCCTCCTAAAACTGCATTTGTACGCATTTGTCAGATAGCAGGGAGTTTGGAGTTCATTGCCACTGGTTTGGAGTCTGTGACTGGAAATTCGCCTGCATCCGGGGTTACGTTGTGGCACCATGCCTAGCTCTTTAAGCCCACGGCTCGTTTTGGACATTTTTTTCAGGACATGTTTGGGCCATGTTTTCCTACTAAAAACTCAGGCCAGATAAGGATTTTTCATTCAACATCCAACCTTAACTGACTGGGAGAGGTGTCAATACAGTTGCCACCGAGATCCCAGTTGCAATATTGGGCACTGAAATGTGCATTGCAGTGCTTGGTTGGATTTGCCCTGCCGCTGTACTCCAGGTGTCGCAATTCTTTGGAACTCAATGGATGTATTAAGTTTATTGATATCTATTGTTTACCCTCTGGTAAACTGACATAGCTATGGAAAATCACATTTTTTAATCGGTGATTCCATGTAATTCCACTATTTCAATGGCCATGTTTTCAATAGCTTTTTGTTAACGTTTACCAGAGGGTATTCATGCTGATTCAGGAGGAGTCCATCATGCCGCAGGTTTTTATTTCATTTTACTGGGGGTTCGAACCATGGCATATCGCTGACCTGAAACGGGACGGATTTTTCAAATCCGTCACTTTTCATGACCTTGCATCAATCCAGGATATACATGGATATACAACATTACACAACCATTGTCACAACCATATGTAATCAATTGAGGTATATTGAGGTTGAGAAAATCTATATATATATATCTATATATATATACATATATATATATCCATGATCCATGTTCAGTCAAAATTCCTCTGATAATTGGAGGATTATGTTCATACTGTTCCCCCATGTTCCCCTAATAGTAAAGCATTTCTCGCAAAGACACAGGTTTCATGGATGCTTCAGCTTGACCTTGTGAAAATCTGCCGGTTTAACCCGTGTGATGTAGTAAAACATGTAACATGTCCATGGCTTTCTATGGCTTTCCCACACATTTTCTCCCTGAAACCAATCCATGGAACGGTGGAAGCGACACAATTTCGATGTCTCCCCGAGTGACACCACGTTCGCCGATGCGTTGAACGAAGCGGTCGCGGTCGCAGTTCGATGGCCCAGAGCGCCTTGTGCCGTAAGTGCAGGGCAACGCGGCAGTTTTCAGATGCTTATTGAATGCGCCCCCAAAGAAGCATGGTTGCTGGTAGCCAGGGTAGCCAGGTGTGAAGTGCGTTGATTTTTTTTAGAAGATGAGTCCAAGAACTACAAAGATATGCAGGCAATGGATGGTTATATATATATATATTGGTAATGGTGATGCATAATACTTTCTAAATAGTCTGAAAATGGGCATAACCCAAAATTTGTCCTTCTAAATTGGAAAGTGAGTTTATAAACTAATAAGCCTAGCTATTGGATTTTGAGATACCTCATTTTCAGACAAAGCTACATATTCAACATTTTCTTGACGCCTAGATTTGCCGAAATGCGTGGTTTCAATTTCATATGAAAACTGACGAAATTCAGCGCCCATACCTATGCTCCAAAGATAGTCAAAGGTACTTTATGCATATAGCATACCGCATATACCATTGTCAAACACTGATTAAATTACTGGAGCCTCTTTGATCGGGGTTTTCCCCCCAATAGTGATATGCTACAAATATCTCCAAGCAAAATGCTTATGTAGTCGGGTTGATGGTTTCCAATGACCGGCCAGGGGGATGAAACCCACCAGTTGTACATATTGCGATGAAGCCAGTCACCAGCTCCGAAAACGCCACATGCCCGGCTCTTTGCTCCATGTTTAGTCGCAGAGATGCAGTTTCGGCAGCAGTGCATGTAGATACAATGTAGGCCCATGAGGACCGACGAAAACGATGCTGTTGGCATGTGTGTACATTGGTATGAGTCAAACATAGTCAAAACCTACTATACCATCTTTGGAAGTAGTAAAGCAACAAATCCCAACACGTCGGTCGTTGAACGCTTAGGAAATCAAGTGCCTTGCTCCGAAGATGAGTCCCTGCCCACTTGCCGCACCTGTTGTCTTTAAATCAGGCGCGCTTTAGCTGACGTGCTCCCGGCAGACCTCAGTGGCAGATCGGGACACTTGCTACTCCCCTAACTATGTCGGGCGAACGAGGATTTGGATGGATTTGGGGTGGATATATCCACAGCTGGATGGTTGAACAGAAACCAGTTCACAATTGACTGGTCCCTTTTTGGCAGGGGATTCAGCAATATGATAATATGGTTGACACCAAAAAAAGATAAAAAAAAGTGCAAACTGCCTCGATCAGCGATGAGGGCGCCAAACCCCCATGCTTCACTGTGAAATTTCAATGAGTTGCTTTGTCCATTTTACTTGGTGAAATCATGGCATCACTGACATGTCCAAAACACAATTCATCTGGAAATGGTTGTTGTCCATTGCATCATTTTAAACTAGGAACGTCAAGGAACTATAATGTTGGGGTCGAAGATGTTGAGATATTTTGAGCCAAGTATGAGACAAAAGTGTTTCTTGGGGCATCATTTTTGGATAGAACCATGTTTGAAGTCAGTGATGTTGAGCCATGATCGCCACTACAGTACAGCCACTACAGTTAATGATGTTCATGAAGCCGAGCATTTGCAAAAGGTCGTGCAAGTCTAAAATTTCAACATGAAAATGAACTTTGGGCCTTGTATCATATTCATACGCGCACACTTGTGCACATTCAAATGGCCATTACATATTCTATTGTTCTATAGTCACCGCCCATAGAAAGGAGTTTGTAGAAAGGTGTTTGGCTTGGCGCATATGACTCATACCCATCATGCACCCTTTTCTGGATCCCAGAAGGGTCCACAAACTTATGGCCAGTGAAGCATGTGAACATCGCGTCAAGATTTCTCTCCCTGTTCCCCCCACCTGTGGCGGGCAGTTTGGGACGTATGTGCGGTGCTTGAAAGGCAATGTGCCATTAGTAGTGCTGGTTTTAGTGGTGTCGTGGTCCCTGCTTTTTGTTGGCGTCCTTTTCCAACTTTGAGATCATTTTATGTATATATCGGTATTGCGGTAATAATGTTTTATATACATGCAAGCTATGATTATGTATTAACGATATGTGCTATGGTCCTCCGAGATTGATACATGGTTGCAACATGTTGAAACCACCAACCAGGGTAAGCTGACATGGGTTGACATGGGTGTACTGTACTAAACCACCCAAGTTAAGTTGTAGTGGTGGCTTTGAAACCAGGAATTTCCGTTGACCTCTGACATTGAGCGGAGTCACCCAAGGAATGATGGGAACCAAAACCAGCGCATTCCTTCTAAAAATGGTTGGTTGGATGTGTCAAAGGTTACTATGTTTACTTCAGAATATATTTTGCATTGTTTTTTTTTTCCGCGTCACATGTTTCGTAGGTCTGCGGGGTTTCCCTCCAACTCTATAATTTTCGAAGTGCCGTGGTTCCAAGCGATACAACGGTGGTACACGGACTCTGCCTCGGAGTTTTGGCACACCTTGAAGCACCCAATTTATTGGGTGATTCAAAACATATAAAACCACATGAAACCCATCCTATTTGGATCCATTTGGGGCATGATGTTTGGGTCAATGGATTGGGTGGGGGCCGGAGCCCGCAGGTTTAGCTCTGCTGGTATCGCCAGATCAGCCCTCATTGCTTGGCGCAGGTCGTGTTGATGGGTCAATGTTGGTTCCCCTGATAGGATTGATTCTGTGCCTCCAACTGAAGGCATTTTTAAGACATGGGCTTGTGAAAAATGGGTGAAGTTCCTCGACACTTATCCGAAGAAAAATCATGTTCCGTCTGAAATCCCTCCACCTGAGCTGCAGCAAAACAGCCAGAAAACAACAAACAACATACATTTTTGACAGGTCATTGATCCCCAAGTTATTGATAGTACCACTTCCCCACCGCGAAGTGCTGTGACCTGGCAGGATATGCTTTGAGTGAGGGCCTCATGGGTACTTTGCTCACTTGCAGATGGGAACTTGGTTTTATTTTGTGGATTTGCCGATATAGATGTATACGTATCATAAATATTCATAAATGTACATGTGTTGTTATCTCTTTGCTTTGATTTGCACACACATGAGAACACACACACACATTTATACTTTAATATATATATATATATGATTATATAATATATGACTATATTTGTATATTTTTCTATATAAGATACATATTTGGTATTATTTGGTGCATAATATTAATAATATCCTTTATATAACTCTGACCTCTAAAACCTCCACAGAGTCACAGAACTTTGCACATCTCAGGTCCCAGCAGTGTTCGCTTAAAGTTGTCGCACGTGCCATCCGTCACAGCCTTGGTGGTTTTCAACGCACCGTTTTTGGGGCCGTCGGGGCCCGGGAAATCAGTGGAAAGTGGAGACTTTAACATGGAAAAACTGTGGAAGATGGGGATGTGAGTAGAATGAGCCGAATATTCACGGGATACAATGTATGTATATATTTCACAGATGCACAGAAATAGCATATAAAAAGCACTATACATAGGGAAATGGTGGAATATAAAATATGATATACGAAACACATAATTACTGCCTACTGCAAATGATTTTGGAATATAGTGATGAATCCTACATATCAATTTATTAAAAAACACTATAGAGTAAATATCTAATAATTTGTATAACGAGCGACCTCAGCGCGATGTCACTGTGAATGATGGGAATTGGATTGGGGGAACTATCCCAAATGACCGATTATTAACTTGTCCAGATCGATTGCTCACTGGAAACCATTGTTGCCACATTCCAGCACTGGAGGGTCTTTGACTATATAGACAATGAACAGTGAAGATATGGGCCAATGAAGATGCTGCAACAGTTGTTGCAACTTTTGCGGCCGAATGCTTTCCAGAATTAGATCCTTGGTTGGTTCGTGACAAAAAAACGCATGTATATAATTGTATATATATATATACTGTATCATACTCTGTGTATATATATATATATATGTGTGTGTGTGTATGTCAGGTCTTTTTAGGCCACAGTTGGATATTGAATTTAGGTTTGCGATGTTGGGGCGCCAGAGTTTATTCGTACTATATGCCCCACAATAAAATGAAAAGAAAAGGTTCTATTCACATCTGATTTACAACTATTTGTGTGTTTTACTTCATGAGTTTGACACATGTTCTACGCTTTTCTGCAATCTTTGTGGGTTGCTATGAAAGTTGCTAATGCTCATCGGAGCAGGATCAAACGCTGCGGCTGCAGTTCGAAGTGGCGACCCAGGAGGCATGTTATGTGCTTCCAGCAGACGTTCAGGTGACAGTTTAAATCCTTGACAACATTAGGCAAAGAGAGCATCTAGCAAAGAGAAAACTGCAAAACAATGAAACCATTCACTTTATAGGGATTTGTTTGACCTTGTTGGTCGGTCTGAAGATGGACCTGGCCCCCCCAAAAAGTGGATTCCAGCCGCCACGGTCGCAGGTCACCAAAGTGAACTTTCAAAGATCTCAGGTCGTGTAACTTCGCTCAGGGTATCGGGAGGATTGGGTGGCCATGCTGCATTGCCGGTATGGCTCGCAATCAAAGACACGGCCAAAATTCCAAGAAATATGTGGACCCCCAAAGTCATTGAAGATTCTGATTTTTGATGGGGCAATATTCATAGTTCAGGAAATACCCATAGTTTTATATCGACTGGTTTGGTTGATATGAAAGACCAAGAATCGATGGTTTCTGGAGGCTAGCCGGCAAGCCACATTTAATATCCGTGATGCCAAAACTAGCGACTCTTCCAGCGTTTGGCGCAACCACCCGAGGCAGATTCTGGCACTCCGTAGCGCCGTGGCTGAAGAGGCTTGGAATTGTAGCCATTGCCCCCATCACCCCCACTGTTTTTTCGATCTTTATGATCTTTATGCATGAACTTCATCCAAGTTTCATGACTCTGCTTGCCAAAGACATGCTTGTCTGAAAATCGTGTGACCATTGTTGTTTACATTTCACTTGCCATGAATTGAGAGTAAATCCCTCATTTCTAGACCCAGATGCATTGGTGACAGCGAGGTGGCCCGACTTTATCGCTTGATGGTGCCGCTGGAGCAGGAGAATGAAATTCTTCAGGTGCAGCGATGTCGCCGATGTCCAATGGGGTCTGTCAAACTTATCCTGGCATAAAACAAGTTGGGCTGGGACTAGTTGAATGGGCCAATTGAATATGTTTCACAGAGTTAACTGTGGCTTATACCGTCTATAGGTCTATGATGGTCTATGATCAACAGGTTTGATATCACCCTCTTATGGTATTGTGGTTGGACATAGATTCTGAACTTTATAAGGTTTGGCTCCAACCCCAAAATGATAGATGTTTCTCTGAATTGATAACTGGGGATCGGTAAGAAATTCCTTGCCAGGCTCATGTTGGTTTTTGGGCTCAAAAGATCAGAACCCCAGGCCAGAATTTTCGCCACACCTGCAGGATGTGGCTGGTGCATCAGAAGAGCTGGGGGGCCCAGCTGCACCGAAGACATGGGCGAACCAGACATGAAAAGATGTGTCCAGATGAAGGGCATAGCGGCATAGCGTCGTAGATTTCCCAAAGTGGAGCACTTCCTGTGCTTGCTTACGCTTATTTTTTGATATTCCCCGCAGTCGCCCCGAAAATTCACAGGACCCCCTATATTTGGGGTTAAAAGCTCGGGTTTCGGGTTTCCTATGATTTTTCCCAGGAAGGAATCCATTGATCCAAGGTACGCCAAGCTCTTTGAAGAAGTGGTCGTGAAATCGCCAACACCTCAGTCTCTCGGTAGTGGATGAATGGAAATGGTTAGATGCCAGTTAGATGCCAGTTAGATGCCAGGTAGATGCCAGTTAGATGCCAGTTGCTTCCAAATTTCCAGAGGTAACAATTCAATATGCAACTCACATTTGGGTGATTTTCTGGACCTATCGGGCCGGGGTTGAGAAATGGGTCTGAAATAGGATACTTTAATTACCATCTGGTTATGACTCATAGTTCGCCATGGAAAGATCCACCATGTTTAAGAACGGTAAAGCATCTATTTCTATGGGCCATCTATACCATGGCGAGCTGTTAGTCATCACAATAGCTTTTTTTAGTTGCCGGCCATCCCGGCCACGGCCACGGCCCGGCCACGGCCACGGCCACAGCCACCCGGCCACCCGGCCACCCGGCCACCCGGCCACCCGGCCACGGCCACGACCACGACCACGGCCACCCGGCCACCCGGCCACGCGGCCACGCGGCCACGCGGCCACGGCCACGGCCACGGCCACGGCCACCCGACCACGGCCACACGACCACGGCCACACGGCCACATGGCCACATGGCCACACGGCCACACGGCCACACGGCCACACGGCCACACCCGGCCATCCGGCCACCCGCCAGCCGGCCACCTGTTTCCTGTGTTTTTGATGGAATTACTGTAATTGTTTTGAGCTTCTTAACTTTTTCGAACAACTTGCGACACGCTCCTGCATGGTGCCTGGTGCTATGCTCTTTTCTTTCCCAGGCAGCTTTGCAACATGCTCTTGATGCTATGCGCTGAACCTTTTCAAGCAACTTGCAACGCACTCTTCCTGCTACTCTTTGAACTTCTCAGGCGACTGGCAACACACTCTTGATCCCACACTTTCAACTTTCTCCTGCAACTTACAACACGCTCTTGGTGCTAACCCTTTCGGGCCCTCAATCCCAAATTTCTCAAGCAACTTGCAGGCTCTTGGTGCTACGCGCTTAACTATTCCAAGCAGCATGGCACACGCTCTTGATGCTACGCCCTCGATGTTCTCAAGCAACCACGCAACACGCTCTTGATGTTACTTCTCTCATGCGCTCAACCTTATGGTTGTGGTGGATTTTGACATGGAACACGTATAACCAGGTGTCACTGTTCTAAATCATGTTTGCAAGGAATTAACGTTCATTTTTGCTGCCAATAGCTATTTTACCCCCCAAAAAAAAGAATGCAAGTGAATGCACCTCCGAGATCTTCACTTTCAGCTGAATTTCCACGGTAATGCTACTGGTAGTGATGATGATGATGGTGGTGGTGGTGATGATGGTGATGTCGATGAGAGATAATAATTATTCAGATGTTTCATTGGCTCTGCAGGGCACACAGTGCCAAAATTCTTTTTAGGTTTTCAGGGCCCAAGCAGTTTGAGCATCCAACAGTCACAAGCAGGTGTCAACTACCGTGACTATCTGCCCTTTTAATTTCTATTGATGATATTTACAAGTTTTCTGTGATATGACATTCTGATCGTTTCTTGCCACTTGTTTAAGGTGCCTGGCATCTGAGAGGCTCGCGACTGTTGTCATATTTTGCCTTCTACTATGAAAATAACATTGTGTGTGGGGGGTGGGGTGGGGTGCAGGGGGTGGGGTGGTATAATAACGTCACATACATTTCCACACATATGTGATGCAACATATCTGTACGCTCTCTTGCATTTCATTCACATCCACACTTACGTCTGCTACGCTTCTGTAAACTCTTTGGCACTTCCACACACACGCGTCATGCTACGCTGTAGGTTCTTTTGCGCTTCCACACATGCGTCATGCTACGCTGTAGGTACTTTTGCACTTCTACACATGCGCCATGCTACGCTGTAGGTTCTTTTCCACGTCCACACATACGTCATGCTACGCTGTAGATTCTCTTGCACTTCCACACATACCTCATGCTACGCTGTAGGTGCTCTTGCACTTCCACACATGTGTCATGCTACGCTGTAGGTACTCTTGCACTTCCACACATACCTCATGCTACGCTGTAGGTGCTCTTGCACTTCCACACATGTGTCATGTTACGCTGTAGGTCCTCTTGCACTTCCGCACATGTGTCATGCTACTACGCTGCTGTAGATTCTCTTGCACTTCCACACATACCTCATGCTACGCTATAGGTACTCTTGCACTTCCACACAGGTGTCATGTTACGCTGCTGTAGGCTCTCTTGCGCTTCCACACATACGTCATGCTACGCTGTAGGTTCTCTTGCACATCTACACATGCGTCATGCTACGCTGTAGGTTCTTTTCCACTTCCACACGTCATGCTACGCTGTAGGTAGTCTTGCTCTTCCACACATACGTCATGCTACGCTGTAGATTCTCTTGCACTTCCACACATACCTCATGCTACGCTGTAGGTGCTCTTGCACTTCCACACATGTGTCATGCTACGCTGTAGGTACTCTTGCACTTCTACACATGCGTCATTCTACGCTGCTGTATGTTCTCACCGTATGATGATGATGGTGGTGATGATGATGATGATGATGATGTTCATATTGCTGATGATACTAAAGTTTCGTTTTTGAGCCTTTTCAATTCCCCCCTAGAATATGTTTGAAAAGTGACGACAATCGCGGGCCTCTCAGATGCCCGGCACCTTGTTTAACAAGTTGTTTCCTATTCCATGATGCATCTTGTGTCAAGTGCTTGTCTTCGCCGTCATTTGCTGGTGTACACCTTTTGTTCACTTCATCCATCTCCTCCTCCCGTGAAAGAAATGCTACTGCTGCTGGCTTCCTGTGGCTATCCATGTGATAATGAAGGCGATTGTCAAATAGAGCTTTGACAAAAGAGGCAAGAACTGAACTGCTGAACTGCATGGAGTGATCGTGTTGTCTTAAAGGGGAATGAGTTTATACATGTGGGTAGGAATTAGCACACAAATCGATGTTTCTGGTTGAGACATATATGGTAAATTTGTTCAAGCAATCTTGCGCCACATACGGGACAGCAAAACGCTGCTTGATATTGTTTGAAATCAGCAGTAAGCAAATTACAATCATCTTCTAAAAACGCTCCTCCCCCCCACCGCCACCCACCCACAAATCCCGGCCAACCAGCCAACCAGCCATCCGGCCACGGCCACGGCCACCCGGCCACACCCGGCCACACCCGCCCACCCGCCCACCCGCCCACCTGCCCACCTGCCCACCCAGCCAGGCGGCCATCCGGCCACCCGGCCATCCGGCCATCCGGCCACCCGCCACCCCCCTCCGCCCCATCCGCCCCGGCCACAGCCACGGCCACCCGCACACCCCACCCCGGCCACGGGCCAACCCGCCACGGGCACCCGGCCACTTGTCCAACCCGCCACTCCACCCGGCCCGCGGCCAACCCGGCCACACCCACCACCCCTGCCCCCACCACCGGCCAACGTGGCCACCCTTCCACCCACCCTGCCACCCCCGGCCACCCCCCACACGGCCACACGGCACACACGGCCACACGGCCACACGGCCACCCGGCGCCACGGCCACACGGCCACGGCCACACGGCCACGGCCACACGGCCACGGCCACGGCCATGCACGAAAAAAATCTATCCTCGTTAGTCATAACCACAGGTTAATGATGGTTTGAAGCCTTATTTTGAACAATAAAGCAACACAAACCAACCAATGGATTGTTCCGCAAAGTGGTAGTATCCCCATGTATCCCCATGGATTGAGACTCGATGCCCGAGGCCGCCAGATGGTGACTTAAAGGAAGACAGTGAGAAGCTGCAGCAGTTGGAGGACACACTGCCCTGGTGTCACACACCCATGATTTTCCATGACTTCCCATGTTTTTATACACGTTGTTCTGTTTTTTTTTTCCGGGATCATTGTCCCAAGTTGTCACTGTTTTGCCAAGGGGGGTTGAAACCACCAACCAGTGAAGATAGGGTGCTTGCAGGTATGGAAAGATATCAACGATGAATGTGGATTTGTCGCTATGCCCCATGCCAAATCAATCCAAATCAGATATGTATAAATCATAATGAACGCACCGGGACGTCAGTGGAATGATTGTTGGTAAGGGAAGTTATCCCAAAATTGGCTATCCACGGACATGGATCCATAGAATTCCATAGATGCTAAGGACACCTTGTCAGTCCGATTGTTGGCCCGGCAACGGCTCCTCGTGTACAACAAGGTGGATCAGCTCAGACAACTTGCGAGGCGGCGATCCGTGGATGTGGTGGATGTGGTGGTGAAGACATCAGTTGGAGATGTTTCTGGCGAGGTTAACTGCAGGTTTGACACACAGAGACATGACAATATTCTACAACTGTTGAGCTGAATTAAATGTTTGATCATGTTTGTTAGATTGATTTTTCGCATGTTTATCCCAAAATCAAAATAACCAAAGCCATTTCAACCATGATGTTCCTTTTTCCCCCAGGTGTCAGGTGTCCAAAAAGCTCTCGCCGTCCCAGGCGACGACAACCCGAGGTGAGACTGGCTTGCTGTAACCCGAAAAAGGTTTTCAGGATGGTACAGATGATATTTATGCTTATATAACTATACCTCATATTAAAATTATTAAAAGTGGGTTTCCAACTTTTTATCAACGTTTCTATCTGTTCGGGTTGCTATATGGAGATATAGCAACTCCAAGAAGGATAAGACACCGTACAAATCCTGCTAAAATAGCAATAACATGCTTTTTGTGAGGTACCATAATAGTGACTATAGGGGGCTTCATATACAATAATGTGATATGATTCATGATATGATGTACCCCCTGGTAAATTAACATAGACTTGGAAAATCACAAATGTTTAGTGGAAACTAGTCTTGCAACCCCTACTGCCAGGGTCTACGTTAATTTACTGGAGGGTGCATGAAATTGTTTGGCCAGAAATGGATCTGGGCACCCAATATTATGGCCGGAAACATGAGGTTTGAAATGAACCATGGGTTTGGGGGTGCTGTACCCTTTGCAGACACGCCGATATCAAAGATATGGCAGTTTGATAGTTTGATAGTTTGCGCGTTGAAGGCTTGTGGCTCGTCCTGGTTTGAACATAGTCTAAACGTATGATTTCTTGATCAGGGGAAAGTACTTTAGCACCGAGCTATACTTTATTTATGTCGGAACCAACAGATATTTCAATGCACTCTAAGAACAAAAAACAAGTATATACATTTTGACAAGTACTGGAAACCGTGTCCAACAAAATGGAACCCAAACGCCAAACTTCCTTTGTTTCGCTCACTTGTTTAGCCAGGAAACCAGAATTTAGGGCATTTCGGGCGCCATCTTGAGTCAAGATTCATGAAGCCCCTGGTTTGACGAAGGGTGGACCATTTCTCCCTGTTTTGGGGATGAAATCCATGGATCAGGTGGAGAACGCTGGCCGTGTTTCTGTCGTGTTTCTTGGCAACAAAAAAGGGCGAACATCTCGGCTGAATGGGTTCATTGGATCTCATTGGCACCTTGGGACACACACATTGTATATATACCCATAGGATCCATGTATGGTATATATGCTAACATTGGGGGTATATTGATGGTAAATGTTACCATATATGGCATACATGGATCCTATGGGATATATATATATATTATAAATATACGTACCCATAGATGATTTAATGTCATGCCCTGCAGCTCAAACTGCAATGTCATATTAATCTTGTGCAATTCCTGTTCCAGTTTTGCGGAGGATCTAAGATCAGCCATGGTCAGTGCTCGAACGAAGCATTGAAGACTCGTGAAGACCTCGTGTTTTTTTGGAGTTACTCCATGCCACACGGAACCAGGCCCGCAATTTCAGACAAAGAGCTACAAGACATGCTGGGAGCCCTGGATGTGACCGGCGCCGCATCCCCTATTTCACCAGAAATTGGCGGTAGAAATCCTCGAAAATGGAATGCTTATTGTTGGATTTAATTACCACATGACATGGTCCTGGTTTCTTTTGGATTCTTCAAAGCTGGCCATTCATGGCGGACGAGATCGGACGAGCCAAGATGCAGACGGTCAATATCCATTTGCTCATGCCAGAGATCTCATTCATCGCCTAGATGGGTGGGCGACATGGGTTGGTAATGTTTTGAATTTTAAGAGGACATACATACGGACATACAGATTCTTTCGTTGTTTCCGATGTGTTTTTTTTTCTTGGTTCAATCCCAATGTTTCTTGGATAAACCACCATTTCTCCCCCGGGATAAACAAACCATCAGTTTCCCACTCCTTGGATTGGGACTTCCACTTCCAAGTTACTTGTGTTAAACCATTGCAGCTTCAGTAAGACCTCTTCCTGAAGCTAATTCCCGGAAAATTCCATATGATTCTTTTGGTATAGCTGGTTAGTCATAAGATCTATCAAACCCTTAGTGGCTGGTGGTTGTTCATATACCTTAATAATCCCTGGCTGGGGGGTCAGCTGGCCTTGAATCCCCATCTGGTTAATCCCAGGCTGCGGGAGCAGGATTCAAAGGCTGAGGCTGGCTCCGTGTCCACACCCCTTGTTGAAAACACAGTCTAATATAGGGGAACTATTATAGAAACTATATATTAGAAACATTTAGAAACTATGTTTTGCGAAGGTTCTTCGGGGGAGAAGTTCTATAAAGATCTATATAATAGAACTGGTATAAGTATAAGGAAGCTCGGAAAGAACCTCGTTTCAACACATAGCCTTGGCTGGGGAACTTCCTATGGCTCCAGCATTGGCAGCTTTCGGTCATGTCTGGAGTTGCCGGGTGGCAACTTCCATGGATCCTTCTGCCGGTGGTGGCGGTGCGGCCAGTGCATTGGGGCATCCGGGCGTCGTCACTGGAAAGGCGCCTCTGGCAAGTCGATTTGGGGGCTTAAAGCGAACTTTTCCAATGGTTTCCCAGGACTTTCCCATGAAACAAGGGCTTGTAACGGCTTGTACAAAAGGTGTATTGACAGCGATGGAGAGAGGGAACAGCTTTATTGACCTTTAATTGGAGAATATATGTTTTAACCAATAGGAAATCGTGCCTATAATATAAATTGGATGGCGATGACAATGAGAAGATGGACTCTATATATAGGGTAGGTATATGTAGGTATAGCAACCCCCCAAAAAAAAGATAGAGAAATTGGAGACCTGGAAATTCTGGGACGACATCATCTAAAATCTAAGGGATGTTTTTGGGGGTTCCTAAATGATAGCAACAAAAAAACAGTTGCTTGGAGTTGAACCTTTTGGGAGCGATACCTGGCTGAGCAAAGCTGAAAAAGATGCAACAGTGTTTCTCCAAATGCGGCTGATGCGCTACATTTGATGCTTGTTAAGGTCACACGTGGGGCATCATTTGTGCCAAGTACAGGTCTAAGTGGTCTATAAACTTGAGCCGGCTGAGCTTGGACGGTTTAGGCACAGAAGGGTTTGTCCATGTTTGTTCAAAGATTAGGTACCTGCAGTTCATCAATTTCCTTCATACATGTAACCTGAGTTCAATACACCTGATGCCATATCTTGCTCAGGGGCCCCTTGAAGCCATTTGCATGGCCCGGAAAAGGCTGTGAGCGGCCTCATGGTTTCTTGCGTGTGAGCACGCAATTGGTGGTGACTTGGTTGGGAACGATACAGAGAGATTAGCATTCCCCAGCTTGACACTGCACAAATCGAGAAGTATACCGTATCTACGGTTTAGATCCTATCAACAGATATCAGCTACCTGCATTGGTAGCGGAGCGCCATAGTGTGCGTCTCCAAGGGCTAGCTCCAATACCTCCTGCGCAAACACTCCGTGGTAGCCCATCTGTTTGATTTGGATATACGAGAAATTCATGTCGGCATCAAAAGATCGAACTGAGTCCTATGTGCCTTCATGGGATGGCTCCTCCAAGACATGGCGTAGATATGTGAAAGAGATTTCCTGGTATGTTGGCAGTACAAAGGTGAATCAACGGCAATACCTCGCCAGTAAGCTTATTAGTCGGTTGTCTGGGTCGGCACGGCTGTTAGCTATGTCATGGCATCAGAGGGATTTTGATGGTCCTGAAGGGGTAAATCTGTTGTTACAACGACTGTCAGCATCTCCACTGGTCCGACGTTCGCTCCCGAATGCAGCAGCGATCATGTCGGAGTACTTCTCATTCCGACGTCGACCAGGAGAAGGGATTTCACAGTTCTTGGTGAGAGAAAGTTTAGGGTTTGAAGAGTTTCAAGAAGCGTTGGTTCAGTTGAAAGAAGAAAAAGATGGAATAGACCCGAGTTCAAGGAATTTCGATTTACCAGACATGTCTCCAAAAGGGGATGATGATGATCAATGGGGTGATTGGCGTCGATGGCGCCAATGGCAACCTCCTACAGAGGGTGGTGATGCTTCTGTTGACCAAGATGGGGATCATAGTCCAACAAGGGGTGAAGGGTATAGACCTGTTCCTACTGTTGAACCTGATTTGAGCCCTGCAGCGGCTTCAGTGCATGGTCGGACGGTTCCTCCAGCATCACAACCTGGTTCTCCTACTCAGCATGGTTCTCCTATTCTTGGTGTTTTGGGTCCACTGGATTCTTTCATTTTGGAAGTGTTGCGTGGCTGGAGACTATTGGTTGCGGCATCCCTATCCAGTGAAGAGTGGAGAGATGTTTTGGCTGCTACTGGCAACAAGCTAGACTATGTCAGCATTTCGAATTCCTTACAGACCTTGTGGGATGAACAACTGGGTTCTTCACGACATGCTATGATGGGACAACGTGCATACATGAACAACTGGCATGAGCAATGGGATGTTTCTTCTGATTGGCATGATACATGGAGTGATGATTGGTATTCATGGGCTTCACATGTGGCTGAACATGCATGGCCTGAAGCTGCCGCCGCTCAGGAAGAAACCTCCACTGCTGATCAAGCTGATGACCCAGCTGATCCTGACCTTCAAGAAGCCTTGGATGCAGAACGTCAGGCTGAAGCTTTGATGTCAGAGGCCCGACGAACTTGGTCTCAGGCTCAACAGGCGACGGCCATGTTGCGAAAAGATAGGGGTTTTGGAAAAGCATCTGGGAGTGCATCTACAACTGACAATAGGGGTTGCTTCATTTGTGGCAGTTTTCAACACTATTCACGAGATTGTCCAGATCGAGGTTTTCCCCAAAAAGGTCGTGGCAAGTATTTGTCTCCTGCAGAACTAGAATCCTATCTGGTAGCTGGCAAATCCAAAGGCAAGAAGGGTCAGCACAAATCAAAAGATGGCATGTGGATGGAAGATTATTCCTATGATGCGTATCCATTGCAAAAGGGTAAGTCCGGAAAGGGGTATGGCAAACCAAAGGGCAAACCTTCCACTGTGAACATGTATAACATGGATTACTATGGTTTGGAGATGATGGATGATTTTCGCACTGGTGATTTTACAATGGATTGTTTTCCCCTGGAACTCTATGCGGCTTCCGATTCCGTTCAACAATCAGTACCTACGATTCCTCTGGGTTCTGGTATGCTGGATTGTGGGGCGACGGCATCAGCGGGTCCTGAAGCCTCCATCAAAGCATTGTTGGGACATCTTCGTCAACAAGATCCAAATATTCTGGTTTCATTGAACTATGACAAGTGTCCATTTTTCAGGTATGGTAGCGGCAGTTGGGGACAAGCATTGTATCAGGTGACTATCACTTCATCATCCAATTCATCGAGGTTTTTCATGGCGTATGCTTTACCCAATCCAAAGGACTACGGACAACCCTGGTTTCATGAAGGGATGCTGGTTCCTATTTTGGTAGGTATGGACTTCCTCTCCAAGGTAGGCCTCATTCTTGACTTTTGTGATGGACATGCGGTACATGCCAAAGATCCAGATCCCACTCCATACTACATGCTCAAGAATGTAAAGGGTCACTTCATGGTGAACATTGCGGAGTACATCTGTGGTTCCACCGGCTCCGAGGCGTCCACTGGTCATCAAGAGCACTTCACTTTGGAGGCGACTCGACCAGTTGAGGACAGTGATGTGGGTTGGTTTGAACTTGGTCCCATGGAACTATGTGGCATGGATGATACAATGCATGAAGTTTCAACACATGAGCAAGAACATGAGCATGGTGATGAAATGAAACCTCTTTTTCAGTACATGTTGAACCGAAGAATCAAGCTGAACCAGAACCAAGCTTCCTCTTCCAGAGATCTTTCCACTCAAGTTTCTCAGCGTGGCCGGCCGACAGCTTCCACGACTGCGAATGCCTCCAAAGACCTCTTCGACAAAGAGCTCCAAAGCAGCACCCTTGGATCACACCAAGGAGAAGGGATGGCATCACACAGATCCCCGTGGCGATCCCAATTCATGGCCTTGTTATGGAGAACACGGGATGTTTCAAGAAGGGTCGAACGCCTATGCAAAGTGGGCAGATTGCAAAGCCTGCGGACTGAGGCTGTCTTATGTCCCGAGAGAGGGCTACTCCGGCAGCACCAGCAAAGTGGAGGATCCGAAGGTGATCACCATGGCCTTGAACCTTCTCAAGCAGGATGTCAAAGCACAGCATTGCACAGCGCCGATGGTGAAGCTGGCAATGGAGATCTACAAAGACCAATCCAAGCTGGAAGCCATGGAGAAGCAATTCCACATGCTGCAGCAGCAGGTGACCCAGAACATGGCCAAGTACAAGATCATGACCAAGCAAGCTTGGGAAAGCCCTGCAACGAGCTCTACTACAAGTCTCAATGCGGAGGAGATCTTGAAGCAAATGTCCTCGGAGGAGATCCAACGCCTCCAGGAATTGGCTGCCCAGAGGAAAGCCGAAGCAGAGAGGGAGGAGGAGGAACCGGATATGGAGTTGGTTCAATCACGGAGCCAACCAGAGACAAGTTAGATCATGCCGAACATGAGACTCTCCAGATCGAGGCCAATACGAAGATGGTTGACTTCTCTGAGGAGTGCGATGTGATCGAAATGTCGTCAGTCGACAGCAGCCCCGGTTCAGAGAATGACCTTTCTCTGCAACCTGATGACTTGCATGCCTACAGTGCCATCGAGATGATGCACTACCAGGCCTACACTTCCAAGAAGGATGGAAAGGCCACCAAACAAAAAATCCAAAAACCAAAGAAAAAGAATTTGACTTTCAAGCGGTCCAAGACTGACAAGCACAGATCGTCAGCTGAGGACTGGGAGACTGATGCTTTTTGCTCTTCCACCTCCACTACGAGCACTTTGCCGTGGAGAATTGCCAAGGCTCTCATGGCGATGATGACAATGATGATCGCCACCGCACACTCTGACTTCCGAGATTTGATCAGAGGTGAACAAGTGGATGTGTGGGAAATGTTTTGTGCCCCACAAAGCTGGCTTACAAGCGCCTGCCAAGAACAAGGCCTATGTTGTCAGCGGATCAACTTGGAGAACAATTTCGACATGTATCGCAAGGAGACCTACTCTGCTTTGCGTGAGAAACGTGATCGTGAAAAACCAAAAAGGATGTGGTTATCAACAAGATGCACATACTGGTGTAGTTGGACAGCCCTGAACTACAACACTGAAGAGAAACGTGCCAAACTGGAAGCCTATCGACGGAAAGAGCGTGCCATGTTCCGTCAACTGGTTCCCTTCCTTGAGGAGTCTGTGATCTTGGATGAATCCTTGGAACTCTTTTGGGAATGGCCAACAAGATGTGCTGGTTGGGAAGAACCTATGTTTCTACGGCTTCAAGCTTTTCTTCAGCGTTTGGGCAAACCACTATATTTTTGTAGAGTGGATGGTTGCCGATATGGTTTACGGTCGTCAAATGGTGGTTTCTTGAAGAAGTCATGGACTATAGCCACAACATCGGAATCCTTCTACAACATCTACAAGACAAAGGTATGTGTTGGATCCCATGAACATGATCATGTACAGGGCTTGGAAACCTCACGTTCTGCATACTATCCATGGAGAATGGTTGTCTCTTTTGCACAAACATGGCGATCAGAACTGTATCCTGATAAACGTCTTCATGCTCTACATGCTCCAGCTCCTCACATGTTGTCCTCTGCCGAGATGCATGAACAACTTGAACTTTTGGCTGGTGATGAAATAGTAGTAGATGATGAAGAACGTGAAGGTGATGTTGTACCAGCAGTTGAACCAACAGCAACAGAAAAAACGAAAATGGGAAGCACAACTTCAAAAATACCACCGTGCGGCAGGTCACCCAAACAACTTCAACTTGGCCAGAATCTTGAAGGACGCTGGCATGCCCAAATGGAAGATCGAAACTGCACTTCAGCTGAAGTGTGGAGATTGTTCTGCGTTGAAGTTGGGCGGCATATCCAGTGGAAGAGTTCCACCAGCTTCTCTGCGTCCTCTTCCACGTGCATGGGAGGTCGTAGGTCTTGACTGCACTGAGTGGATACCACCTGGCCTTGCCGACAAATACAAGATACTTGTCATGATGGACCTGGCGACAAAGTTCAAAAACACCGTGGTATTGATGAAGTACGGTCCCAAGGAGATGAAAACAGAGTCTCAAGATCAGATTCTTGATGCTTTTTGCAAGCACTGGCTGGCGACAAAGCCGAAGCCACAAGTGCTGATTCCTGACAATGCCAAGACGATGGTCGGTGAGAAATGTCGCATGATCTTCTCCGACCTCAATATCCATCTAGACCCTCCAGCTGTGAAGGAGTCCTGGGCACATGGCCTTATGGAACGAGCTGTGCAAGAGACCAAGAATGTGGCTTCGAAGGTGCACTTATCCAATCCTTCACTGGCACCTGAGACTTCACTAGCACTTGCAACTCATGCCATGAATGCTACAGAACATGTAAGTGGTTATACTCCTTTGCAATGGGCCTATGGTCAACAGTTTTCCTTCAGCGATGAGGATCAGAGCACTATGTCATGGCTGATGCCTACGGCAAAAGACCGAGATTTCACTCAGCTCATGGCCAATCGCTCCAGTGCTGAGGACATTGCGCGAAAGGTGCGAGCTCAGTCTGCATTGGGGAAGTTGCGTAACAGTAAGGCAAGGCAACCTCTTCAAGTTTTTCATCCTATGGAATTGGTGAAGGTATGGAGAAAATATGCAGCTGAACAAGGCCCTAGAGGTGGCATGCACAAAACTTTTCGAGCGCAATGGCTTGGTCCTGGTCGCGTTGTTTTCCATGAAGTTCTACAGGGCCAAAGACCTGAAGATCAGCGTAGACATATAGTGTGGGTTGTGATTGGTGGGACTATGCATCGCTGCAGTGTTCATAGTGTTCGCAAAGTGACTGAACGTGAACGTTTGGAGTTTGAGATTCATGCGCCAGAACAACCAGAAACCTGGCAAAGTCTCAAAGACCTTCTCCCAAAGCGTTCTTATGTAGATGTCACTGCAGAGGAACCCACCGAAGATGATGAGGATGCCCCAAATTTACCATTTCGACCGGATCAGTCCACTATGTCTTTCAAGCCCAAGTTCCGGCACAATATGAAATCTGGTCCATATGTTGGTGAATTAGGTGATCATGCTGCGTCTTCACAACAACCGGCTCAAGCTCTTCCTCCAGTTCCTGAAGATGATGATCTTAATTTGAAAGCACCCGTCAATGAGTACTCTCCTGGTACTCCACTGCCTGACGATGTTGAAATTGATGATGATGTTGAAGACAAAGATGAAGGTTTAGGCAGTGGTCTTCCAACTTTAGAAGAACGTGTAACGGGTCAGCCTTCAGCTTCTCGTTTGTTAGATGAGTCCAGCAAACGTGCGAGCTCAGCAGGTGATGAAGCTGATTCCAAACGACCAAAGCTGGAAGATGCGGAAACTTTGCTTTTCAACTGTTTAGATGTTTACGAAGCAGCCTATGTTTTGACGGTGGAGCTTGACCTTACCTCCAACCGAGAAAAGAAGAAGCTGCTTCATCATCCTTCACTTTTTCTGGCTCAAAAACTTCGAGATTGTGAAGTTCGGTATGAAAAGCTGCGTCCTGAGCATCGTGTTTTGTTCGATCGAGCGAAAACCAAAGAGGTCAACTCTTTCCTGGCAAATCAAGCTGTCAGACGTTGCCTCAACAGCAACGAAGAGCTCGAGGCCAAGCAGAGCGGACGTCTGATGAGATGTCGTTGGGTTCTGACTTGGAAGCCAACTCCTGTAGAATCTCTGGAAGAAGCTCAACGTGAACTGGCTGAAAATCCAACAAATACAACACTCACCCAAGATGCCAAGAAGAAAGCGAAGGCACGTATCGTGCTCCTAGGCGTTGAACACCCTGATCTCCTCACTGGTGAGCATCAAACTGCCTCTCCTGTTCAAGCAGTCATCACAAGGAATATCTCCTACCAGTTCATCATGGAACAAGGTTGGGACGTTGAGGGCATTGACATGAGCACAGCGTTTTTGCAGACTCTCCCCACTGAGGAATCAAAGCGTCTCTGGACTTCTGGCGTGCGAGAATTGCGAGAAGCCCTGCAGGTTCCTGAAGGTGGTGTGCTCCGAATCCTGAAGGACTTCTATGGAAGCACAACAGCTCCAAAGAATTTGTTTCAGAACGTTGATAGTTCCCTCAAAGGTTTAGGTGCTGTTAAGATCAAGGGTGATGCATGTTTTTGGTTGTGGGTTGAAAAAGAAAAGAACCCTGAGTCCCAAAAGCGACAATGGAAGCCAATAGGGTTCATGGCTGGTCATGTTGATGATTTCCATAGAGCGGGAGATAGAACAAATGAAAAATGGAATGAAATCAGAAGGAAAATAGATGCACTCTACACATGGGGTTCGATCAAAACCAACCAGTATAGACATGCTGGCACTGATCTTTCGATGCACTCTGATTCTGTCTATGGACGAACCTTGGTGGTGGATCAGCAATACTACATCGAGACCCTGCAGGATGTTCAGATAGATCCTCAGCGTTTCTCTCAAGGTCATCTGGAAATGACGGCCAAAGAGGTCACTGAGTGCAGAGCGTCTTTAGGTGCAGTTCAGTGGGTGGCAGTTCAAACTCAGCCTTTAGCTTGCGCTCGCTGCAATCTTTTACTGACTGAACTCACTACTGATCCGAAGATGAGTGTAGCACAGGAAATCCAAGAAATCATTCGTGAGCTTCGAAAATCTGCGACTGTTCTCAAATTTTTCAAACTGCCTGGTGTGAGTAGTTGGTTTGATTTAGTCGTAGTAGGTTTGGGCGATCAAGCACATTTAAATCGTCCCAAATGTGGCTCAACGGGTGGCATGCTCACTTTCTTGTGCGGCCCAGCCATTTGCAGAGGTGCACCAAATCCAATGATTCTGGTCCATTGGAAATCGTGGAAATTAAAGCGCAAATCCATTGGAACCAATGATGCTGAAGTGCAAGCTTTGGTAGAAACCGAGGACTCTCTTTTTAGGACTCGTTTGTTGTGGGCGGAAATGAATGGTGCTGGAGCCCATGACACTTCTCGAAACCTTTTGGAAGCCTCATTGGACGAAGTCCAAAATGTACCTGGTTTGCTAGGAACTGACAGCAAGGGTGGTTATGATAGCATTATTGTGAACGAATCTCCTCTCCTTGGTTTGTCAAACACCCGTGCTGCCTTGCAAGCGTTTCAACTGAAAGAGTCACTCCCACGTTGTGCAACTAAACTCATTTGGTTAGCCTCTGATTGGAACTTGTCTGATGCCCTGACAAAGAAGAAACGGGAGTGCCGAGAGTCCTTGGAATTTTTCTTGAAGAGCCGAGTGTGGATGTTGCGATTTGATCCACAATTCATAAGATCTGCTCGTAAGGAAAGACAGATCAAAGGGAGCCCGCAAAAGCAACTTAGTACAGAGGTTGACGGTGTCTTGAACTCACAAGAATTTTGGGGTTATGCAGTTCATCAATTTCCTTCATACATGTAACCTGAGTTCAATACACCTGATGCCATATCTTGCTCAGGGGCCCCTTGAAGCCATTTGCATGGCCCGGAAAAGGCTGTGAGCGGCCTCATGGTTTCTTGCGTGTGAGCACGCAATTGGTGGTGACTTGGTTGGGAACGATACAGAGAGATTAGCATTCCCCAGCTTGACACTGCACAAATCGAGAAGTGTACCGTATCTACGGTTTAGATCCTATCAACAGATATCAGCTACCTGCAGTACCCTAATCCATCCTAATCCCCTTGTTTCTCATCATTTTTTCCCATTCAAATAGCCATGGATTCGCAGTCTTTAAGTTGTGCAGGACCTTGGACTTCGCGCAGATCCCTGGCAGAATTTGGCCTTTTCGTACTGTTGGATGATCTACCCTCTGGTTATGACTAACAGTTCGCCATGGGAAATAGATGGCCCATAGAAATAGATGATTTTCCCAGCTAGATACCTCCATGTATTTTGGGGATTTTCCATGGCTATGTTAAATAACCAGATGGTAAGTTGGATCCACCTGCACGATTTTTCGGGTTCCAAAAGGGTTCCAAAATGTCCCAGCGCCGAGGAATGTCTTGGGAATGCAGGCCAGGCACCATGGGCTGGGACACCAAAATGTGGCTGCCAATCGTGTGTTTGGGATTTGAACACGACATACACTGAAAGAAAGGTGAAATAAACTTACATTGGGTCTTCAAACTCGAAACATCTCCGAACAAATCACTCTTTGACTGCTTAACGCGGTAGCTGCGGTAGCTGCACAGGTGCTTCTGCCAAGCATGGTGGGATGCTCCACGGGTGACAAAGTCGACTCCTTCTGGTCCAAGACTGTCCTTGGCACCTGGGGCTACTGTCCAGATTCAATGGAACTTATGTGATTTCCAGGGGAAACCAAAATTTGTTCGGAAATATGTTAAGTTATAAGTGTAATACATTGTATTACAATGGGGTATGAAACATTATGAAACTATCAACTAACACTCTGATAATTGGATATCCTCATATATCCTCTGATTTTTTAATGGTAATCAAGCGTGGTGGATTTCTACAATTAGGACGCCCCCAAAAAAGATTGATTGCCCTGGGCATCTCTGGGCCTAGAATGGCACTCCCCCCCGATGAACACAGGGGCTTGCTAGTCCGTGGTTAGCAGCAAAGGTGGGTTTGTCTAAAAAACACGGTTGTCTCCAAATATTCCGTTTAAATGAACACATTCTGATACTTGTAATCCAATGGAGTTCGGAGTGCCTAATCATCAAGACAAATCCAGGTAGCTCCAGGTTCTTGTGGTTCTGATGGGTCGGGCCAAATGGGGCGCCAACGAGCAAAAGTCCGGTGGGTAGGAAGGAGCGGTTGGGAGCTACGACATTTAAAAAAACCATCCTCGACCATGAGCATCAGACAGCATCATAAACCTATCATGAGCCATCATAAACTTATCTCAAATATATCTATATATATAATTATATATATATATATATTTATTTATTTATTTATTTTTTTTATTTATATATTTATATATATATATATATTTATATTCATATTTATTTATATATATATACCAGACATCATAAACATATCATAAGCCTTTATCATAGACCTATCGTAGACCATCAGAAATCATGCCATTTGAACATGCCCAGGTTATGGAGCTGACAGTCTGGCACTCGAGGCCGATTGGCTCCACTTCCCTTGATATAACACCATTGGGTCAAATATCCAACAAACGATTATAACATGCATTACAAGAGATCATTATATGTATATCCCATAGGATCCATGTATGCTATATATGATAACATTTACCATCAATATACCCCTAATGTTAGCATATATACCATACATGGATCCTATGGGTATGTGTTTCTTTTGTTCTTGCAACTTCTTTATCTACAAATATCTAGTTACAATACATGTATATGTATATATATATATAAGCAGGAAAAATATGTTACACATCAGTGGCATATCACTATCGCGTAGTTCTATTGAACGAAACACACACATATGGATATATGTATGGATATGTTTTTTCACTGTGCATCATTATTGGTTGGTCGTGGTTTGGCAAGCACCACAGCCTTTTGGGCATCCACCAGGTGGCCTACAACGATGCCGTCCCAAAGTTTCGGGGTGAAGGTGCTGGGGTTGCAGGATGCGGGGGCCTAAATAACGATGTGGAGACAGGTTTATTTGTTATAACAAGATCTTGACAATAATGGTGGTTTTATGGGAAAATCATAGGAAAACCATAGGAAAATGGTGGTTATACCCTCTGGTAAACTAACATAGCAATGGAAAGATCCACCATTTTTAATGGGAAAATCCACTATTTCTATGGCCATTTTCAATAGCTATGTTAGTTTACCAGAGGGTAACAAGATGGTCCCCATCCAAACTACAGATCACAACAGTTCTTCATTGTATGATCATAGAACATGTTGGACTGTATAATGGTTGTTATATAATTGGAACAATAGATGAGCCATGATGTGACTTCGGGTGCCCCAAATTGTTGGACAGAATACACTATTTGCTGATACCCATGCCCCAGTAGAGAAGGCCTTACTCGGTCAATTCTAGGTCAAGATTCAATGATACATTTCAGATTGGGAATGTTTTTTTTTGTTTTTTTCCGCATTTGCTGAAGTAGCAAATTCATGATGTGTGCACAAGAGTTGGGGCCACTGTTCGTGAGCAGTGTCTTAGGTCTAGATATTGCACTCCCCAACGGATGCAAACACATAGGATCATTAAAGGAATAGATTATCCAATGGGAATGATATTACTGTATATGATGGTTAAAATTCAAGTTCAGAATCAACATGTGGAGTTCAAGCTGTCAAAGTGGATCTAAGTGGACGAAAGTACGATATCTTCATACGTTCTCAGCACCTTCCAGGCCTTCCAGGCCTTCCAGGCGGTCTACAGCGCCTTGTCCTGGAGCTCACGAATCTCCAGGGCTCTATCTTGGCAGCCAAGCGTCCCCTGGCATTTCTTGATCCTTTGGGAGGTCACCTCTGGTTGAATCGTGTTGAACCCCCCATGATTTCCTGGTTCTTTCCCAAACAGAAAGGCGAATTGAGTTGCACCAAGCTGGAAAAAATCTGATTCTGGGACGATTTTTCGCTTAGACACCTGGTGAAATGGAGTTTGAATCAGATTCCTTCTTTCAACCACCTCGCCTATAAGAAATTGCCTGGTGGTTACATCTTTTTGGGCGGGGATGCCGGGATGGGTTGAACCTACCACCCACCAAATGCGTGCGGGGATCAACCCTTGCTGAGGCCTTGGGTATGGCGTCGAGAATGGCACCAATGGTACTAACATCTCAGTGGTTGGGCCAGATGGGCACCTCAAGCAGAGCCAAAGTCAATTTGTTTACCCTCTGGTAATTTAACATAGCTATGGCAAATCACCATTTTTCAAGGGTAAATCCACTATAAATGGCAATTTTCAATAGCTATGTTAGTTTTTACCAGAGGGTAATAGATAAAACATCTATAGATTAGATGAGTCATTGTGCATAGCTATGTTATGATTGTTAAGTTACCGCAGGGTAAATTGATCTTTAAGTTCAGCCAAGCCTTCGTTTTGTTAACGTCCTTTCGTTTTCCTCTGATTTTTGGAGTGTCCAGCACGAAGCCGCCCAAGGTACGTCTTTGAGCTTCGCAGTGCTTCCTCTCCCAAGAGAGTTGGTTTGCAGTCGGTGGTTTTGCACGCTGAGAATTTGGAGCTGGTGGCTGCATGGTACGAGGATACTGGTTGGCACAGGGCGGCAGTGTAAACACTCCAGAAATCTGATACAAACTGCGACAAAGTTTTAGATGTCACTGTTGTGTTTTTAGATGTCACTGCTTTGTGTATAATCAACATCAAAGTCACAAGTTTCTTTTTGCTCCTCCTTTGCTCCATACACTCCGTGGGCGAGGCAGCTGTGTCGAACTGTTGTCTCAGGCTGGCAGCCCCACACCTACCCTTGACAAGAATCGGACGATTGGAAACTTACATGTGTCCGCTAAAACTCATATTGGCCGTATTGGCCTACATTTAATACATTCTTATATCTATAGAAGCGGAACACCCTCTATGTAATTACGATCTATGTTCCAGACAATTTTAATTCTGGATTGATTACAGTAACGCCGTTGAATGACATCAAGCAGCCATAGTTATTTCACGATTAGAATCCTCGGTCCGGGCTTGTCATGAGGAGGAAGATGGAAGCACCATGGCCATGGTGTGTAGTAATTGTAGTATATATGTAGCGCTTCAGCGTTTAGGCAAACGAAAGCAGGTTGGCAACTTCACTCTATGGTGCTGAGTGAATACATGAGAGGGGGAGTGCCCTAATAACTACTCTGATTTCACGTTTGGCGGGTTGGCATCACGACCCCCAAAATAGGGGACTCCCCAACCACCGGGAATGCTGGGAATGGCTAGATGTTGGATGATTTTGGTGGTGTTTTGGGCTCTCCAATTTCAGAACCCAAAAAAAAACAAAAAACAAAATCTATATCTTCAGGGTTGCCCTAACCCAGTATAGGTCGATCATAGCCACAAGAGGGGGAAACTGATCGTTTCATATTTTTTTTTGATTTGCCCAATTTGCCCCCATTGTGTTTACAGGGTGTTGGGAGCAACCCGGACAAAATAGGGAAAAAAAACAACCTTGAACCACTTGAACCCCCTAAATTTGCCAGATCCAATGGCTGTCCAGCCCCATACACAGGAGCTTTTCGGTTTGACACGCGGTGCTCACACTGATGTGGCTGCTGGTGCTATCGGGTTGCAGCTGCGGAACAGGCAAGGTTGGGTGAACCCAATCAAAAATCATCATAAACCTATACCTACCTACACGCATATGATATATATATATATACATATTGATTTACTGTACATTCATTTGCACATTACATATATAATTAATTGGGTTTGCCACCTTAGTACTTGTGGCTGTTGCAGATTGACTTCGCAAGATCCTGAAGGTGGAAGAATCCCATGGTGAATTGCTTGCCATGTGGCTTTGTCAAAAAATCGTGTACCCCAAAATTCCATGGTGATCGATCAGCAGTTCCACGGTTTGCATGAGCGTAAACTTGGGGATAAGCCTCCCGGTTTTGGACAAACCCATAGTTGTGCCATGATTTACCCTGAGGCAATCAAACGTGGCAATGGAAAATCAGATGAAATTTCAATTGAAATTTCAATTTATGGGGATGTTCAATGATTTTCAATGCCATGTTTGATTACCAGAGGGCATTTGTCAAATGGGCTCGACAGGTCCGTGCAGTTTATCTTTGAAGCGATTCGGGCACCAGCCCTCATCACCGCGACGTGGCTGACGGGCTTTGGGCTGCAGACTAACTTCGGGGACCTATCATCCAGCTGTGAAAGTTGGAGGAATGTTTGGACACATGAGAATATGGAAACTGAAAGATTCCAAAGGATTTCATTGATTTCCCCTGTTCAAACTAGCGACCGGCGCCAACAGCGGCCCCAATGTTTTTAATGATAATTATTGAGTTAGTGATTTTGATATATTTTGATAAATATGCTGAAAAGATCTGAAAACTGTGGTTTCGTGGCGATTGTTATTACTTGCCCCTCAATCGGAGATTTGGTCCCACTTTGCGATGGGAAATCATTCATTCATCTTTGAATTACCGGGGGATACATATTTTACCAAACTTACTAGAGATTTGAAAGATGTGTTTTGCACACTCCGTACGGCCATTTTTGATCTTGGTCCATTGGTTTGCGTCGGCGAACCGCCTTTTTGGGCCATCTGTGAAAAATCTTCGAGACGAGACCCGCGGTATGACGTGGCACCAAGGGCTGGGATGGTCGCCTGACCCTGGCAATGCCGGAACGTCAGCTGAGCGGCATCTATGCATGGCCGGGAGGGGGGAGGGGCTGAGTCCATGGGCAAATGTGGCATGAAAAACGGGGAGGTTTTGTGGTCATTTTGGTTATACTCATATTTTGGGACTGCCCAATTTTGACCCATACCTACGTGAGACACGATGATGTCGGTGCTAAAATGAGGCGGTCTTGGGATCACTGGATGATCCAAGTGCCTTCTTTTGGGGTGTAGTGGTCCCACTATGTCCCACCCAAATATCGCAAATTGTGTTGCCGCAAAAAACTCTGTGAAAAGGGGAAGTCACTCATAGCGAAGATACAAAAGGTGAGAACAGGTGGCATTTAAGCAGTCCTTCCTTGAACTTCCCAGATGGGTATGGATCAATACATATTAATACCATTTTTAGTGGGATGAACATCCATTTACCAGCTATTTTGATGTTCACCAGGGGTACAAGGTTTTGACACACTGCCAGATGATCCCGGATTCTTTGAGAATCCGCAGCATCCGAAGATCTCGCAGGTTATCCCAGGAGTCTCCCCTCTCCATCATTCAGCCGTCCGAGAAGCTACCAGGCAGCCCACTGCATCTTGGTGGATGGCCCTCGAGAAGGATCTTGATGGGAGAGGACTCCAACAGAATATGCCAACTTATCAGTAGATCCAATAGTTTCGGGACGGGTTTAGGCGGTTTAGGTACCAAGCTTTAAGTTATAGTCATAGCTCATAGGCACCAATTGTGTGAGACATGGTGCACAAAATCAGAAAAATCTCGCCTTTGCGAAAGGGCGAGTTGAACGGATTCAGATGTGCATTGCTCAGCTTAGTTGAAAGCCACGGGATGTTTCCCAGTTGAAGGTTTTCCCTGAGACCTGCATGGAGTCATGGTGAGTCATTGCTAATCTTGTGAGTGATTTTTGGTTGATTGATCTGAGAAAGTTATGATTGCGGATCAAAGCTTCCAAGAAATCAAGAAACACATCGTTTCAAGGTCGATGTGTCTTTCAATATCCTGCCAGCTGTGATTGTTCAAGACCTGCGGGCCTGGGCCCGCAAACATTCCTAATATATCCTGTTGGATGATATTGAATGATATGGAGAATTTACAGCAACCCCTCTGATTGACAATTCTTGTGGGCTCAAAACCCGACAAACACCATGGAAAAACCATGGAACAAACTAGCAGATTTCCCCTCCAACATCCTGCAAGCCACAGAAATCTGCACCAAGGCAGGCTCTGCTGCGAGATCCTGCAGGCTACGAATTGTGTTTGGTCGGTGACTTGGATATGGCAGCGACTCCGGCGACGAGCCATGCAAGGCGCGGGCTTTCCAGTGGCAGTTGATCCAAGTTCCCAGTTTACAGTACCCGAGTACCCCATTATAATCCATGATAGAGTCATGAAATGCCTGCAATAGTAATGTCATGTAATGTCATTTTATATTGTTTACATTTGATTGCCATCCTATATAGACTTGAGATGGATAGATGCCATTGTTGTTTCCAATCTAAAGCATGTTCCCATTCACAATGACTAGATAATGGCTCTTTTTCCGACACGCCCATATTCAAGTGTTACCAAACCGGTGAACCGACATTAAAACACAATCTGAATTAAACACTGTCCAGACAGCTCTCGTAACACCCTTTCTTGGTTCTACCCACTACCATCATCTACCATCCACTGTCTCTTGGTTCAGGACAAGTGAGACCCAATCCAGCAGCCCTTCGGGCAGCCCTGCCGTGTTGACACAACGACTGGAGTTGTGACCGCCGCAGTACATGGAACCACGGAGGAGTTGGACCCGATGCTGCACGACACCTGTGCCCCCCAGCTGGACACCTTGTGGCAACATGTCGCAGCTGACGGGGTACACAGTCGAAAGCGAACGAGTAGAGCTCGGAGATGTGTCGACTTCGTTACACCGTGGTGTTTGTGTTTCCAGATGCGTGGAAAAGTCCTTGCGATGCGTTTGCAAGTAAGTCAAGTGAGCTCGTCTAAGCCTAGCCAAGTACGGTTTAAGCTGAGAATGCATCAAAGGGATTGGATGGCCCCAGATATCTGAAGAAGATTGATCTATCATGATCTATCTAATAATTCCCCTTTTCTTGCAGTTTCCTTCTGAAATGTATATGTCATTGGCACTTATCTTCATTTCCCAACAAGTCCCCGGGTATTGTATACTTGATAATGATTAGTTTCTTTGACCTGTATTGGGTTCCCAGCTCGGGACCCCTTTAATGGCCGAGTTCCTAATATGTTTTCAATATTTTCAATAAAAAGAACTACTGTGTCTACAGAAATGTCCCCAGATGAATAAGCCCGTGATGATTTGATACTAAAATGGTACCCGCAAAATCACCATGTCACAGGGAGGTGCACCGAAAAACACCACTGGCCAATGGTCTGCGGCAGTCCTGCAGGCAGTGGACTTGCCGCAACGCCTCCAGTTGGAAGCTCTTATGATCAGGAGGAAATGGTTCACCAAAAAAAAATACTCCAACTTGACCATATGGCGATGGAGAGAGAATATCAAACTATTTTAAGAATTGTGCAAAGTTTGGGCATAACTGAACTATCTATAGTTTGATATATTATAGTGTATAATTATAGTGACATGTATGAAAACATCCTCGTTTTTAACCTTCTGGCAGCCAGTACAAGTGTATATATTCTCTCCTTTCAATCCTGCTGAGGTTTGATTTGCGTCTCGGAAAGGTTTCTGTGAACCTGGTAGATGACCAAAGCTCCGATCAGGTGCGCGAGATTGCGCGAGCTCCCGGAATAGGTGGAGGAAGCCTCCAAAAGAGTCAATCAGATAAACACGTCATAGTACCATAGTGATAAGCTACTCATCTAATCTGTTCATATTTGTTCTATCTTTTGTGGGGGTCAATATTGTTAAAGAAATTTATTGTTTGATGTTAAATGTCAAATCGTAGCTGGATTTGTGGTGATCTCGCTGTTTGATTTTTTGAGATGGTTGACCAGATTTATGTCAGGGGAGTAGAGTATAGGTGAAGTTGCCCTTCTGGACATACGACCGCATGGGATAGAAACATTGTTTCTAACTTTGGAATTTGCTAAGTTCCAACCATGTTTGTGCCTGTGCGTAGGTGGGTGATGGTGGGTGCAGAATATGCATGCCATTTACATCCATTTACTATAGGTACCAGTACGAATAATTTACCAATCGTCAACCAGCATGGGGTGATGTCGTTGACCCCGTGTTTCCGACAAGTTAACAATCCCAACTGTTGCAGATGATTTTGTTTTACGTATCTACTGCGCTGAACAGTGTTATAAGATTGGTTCTTCTGATCAACACGTGCACAAAGACATGATTGGCTTTGATACTCGCATTGGGACCCTGTTACACGGTCCAAAACATGAAGTGCAAACTCTAGCTTGTTGGATCTTGTTGGTGTACGTTAGGGACCTTCAGTAGACCCTATTCCCCGCGTAAGTTTCGGCGCCGTTGCGAAGGCTCTGCAACAGCTTCTGTGTTTGGGAGCCAAGCGGACTGTAACGACTCGACGCACCAAGAACTGATCTATGAAATCACTCTTGAAATGGACATGAAGACTTCAAGACACACATCTACATCTTTGATCCTCTTTGTATATCATCGTATATCTTTGTATAGGTGGATATAGTAGTTTCACATAATTATAATATAATTATATAATAATATTATATATATATACATATTATTATAGGATATATATATATATATGATCATATTATGTATCATAAAGAGAGAGAGAGAGAGAAATATATATATATATACACATACATAAAGAGATGATTTCCAACATATGTCAGATGATTTCCTGGCAGCCGGGCGCCAGAGGTTGGGAGCTCCATGAAGCCAACTGCGTTGCCACTGGGCGATAAGATATAGGGTCCCAGCAAGCTGGGATATTCATGGGACTTTAATTCAATGGATTGGTTTAAGGGAAAATCTACAGGAAACCATGGTTTTTAGCATCAAATATAGGGCTTTCCTGTAAATTTTCCCATCATCCAATTCTATGATTAATGGGAATCAATGGGATAAAAAAAATAAAACATTGGGAAATGAATGGGAAAGTAATGACTGGGATAATTAACTGGAGATCCTTTGATAATATTTAAGAATTTGCCACAGAAAATGATCCATGAAAGATCATGAAAGTCGATTATGTACCGTTTTTAGGCATGGTGTCGTTCCATAGCTATGTTAAACTATCAGAGAGTATCAGATAGTACATTTTTGAGACAACGTGGCAAGTACCATTGGGGACGCTTTTTACCCATATTGCAATCCTGAGGATCCTGAGAATGGTGACTGCTCTAGCAACAGCTTTCCGGTTTCATGTGCAAAGCTAGCAACAAATTGGGTGTGGTGCACATAAATGGCAGGTAAATGTGGGTGTGTCTGAAAATAGTGTACCCCTAAACCCAATGGTTAATGATCATTATCCCTATTACATGGCTATAATTGGGAATATACCCTATTTTCAGACAAACCCATGTGCCAAACAAATCCCCCAAAAAAACAACAGATCTGGATTGAACTAAGGTTCACATCCACTTCGTCACAGATCACCGTTTGGGTCGCGATGCAGCAGAGTGGCGTGGGGGACGCCAAGCTACGAGCTGGCCCTTGGTTGGCAGTTTTTGCGAAATGGGATGTACCCTTTGGTAGACTAACCTAGCTATGGAAAGTCACCATTTCTAATGGATAAATCAACAAACAAAAACCAATTTTAATAGCTATGTTGCTATGTTAAATTGCCAGAGGGTATTTGTTCACGAATCTTGGCATTGTATTGCACAACATGGATATCAATGGATATCAATCGCAGGATAATATCACTGCCAATCACGGAATATCATTGATATAACTGTTATTATTCTCCATGCCATCCATTGTTTATTAGCACAATCATGGGATATCAATGGATATAATATCACTTATCTCCAATCGTTGGCATGTGTTTTTCCTCAAGAGGAAGATGATTATAGAACAGGATAAAGCAATGGATTTTCGGGCGTATTATTTTTGGAGAGGGTGGGTCAAAGTCGAAGACCCGATGGCAGATCTCGGCTGGTCATTTGTGATAGGTATAGTATAGATTCTATAGATATGGGATGTAATTAGTCAGTATGAAGTATTAACCCCTGTTGGTGAAATATTATTTGATGGGATTGCACTACCCGATATAATGGGGATTGTCACAACATATCACACCCATTATGGGAATCCCGTTCGGTCTTAACCATGTATCGACAATCCATTGTGTCCGGTTTCATTGGTAACAGAATGGCCCCCAAGCAGAGATATAGCAGGTACCCTTTGGTAATGGAAAGCCAACATTTTGAATTGGTATATGAGGGATCTGTAAATGGTTCACTTTCCATATCTGTTACCCTCTGGTATATAATTTAACATAACTATGGAAAATCACCATTTATGGTGGATTTTCCCATGAAACATGGTGATTTTCCATAGTTATGTTAAATAACCAGAGGGTAAATCGCCGGGCAAGGGCGAAAAAAGGCAGCAATCTAAGCCTCCCAGATTCACTGAGGTGTCGAAGGGAAGTTCGCAGATCTGCAGGTCCTTTGGATCTGGGATACCCTGAGGACGGAAAGGAAACCTGCCCTCTGGTAATTTAACATAGCTATTGAAAATGGCCATTTATAGTGGATTTACCCATTAAAAATTGTGATTTTCCATAGCTATGTTAATTTACCAGAGGGTATGGCTTTTGGGCAATGAGAATTTTAAGATATCCGATGTTGAAATCATTGTGCAACTGGTGGCAGAATTTGGTGGTGGCAACCTGCAACATCGTGGTAGCCTTTGTTCCTGCTGCTCCTGCATGGGCCACATTCACTTCGTGTACTGTACCCTGCAGCCACCGCAGCTCAGAAAGGTTGCGGTGGTTCCTGAGTTGAATTTTGGTGGTTTTATCAACTGGTAGCAATCACTCAGCACAGAAAGCTGCAATGCTCAAGGATTTTTAGCCACAAGGGGCTGCCAGACCTCCACACTGTGGGAAACCAAGCTGTAACTTCCTGCCGTGTGGCAAACCACCTGCCGTGTGCTGCACCAGACCGTGACATGCCTGCAGATCGGGGTTGATGTGGCGTGGATCAGTCTAGCTACTCCACCAACTACCAATTATATCATACCCCAGTTGTATTTGAAATAAATGGGTTTTATGTATAATATAAATATATATATATATACACATAAATCAATACATGCCTACAGGTATATATATATATACACATGGGTTTGATGAGGGCGATGGAAAGAGAGAGATTCGGGTTTGGTGAGGATTGTGTCACGATTTTCCCAATCACCAAAAAGTGGGAGGCAGATCCAGGTAATAATGGCAAGATGTCCTTTTCTTCCTTGTTTTGTTCCAGGTCATTTGCCTTGAAGTGAAAGCTTGGTGCTTGCAGACCCATACTTGCAATGATTCGAGGGAAAGATCCTATACAGCCACTCTTGCACACTTAGCTGATGCAGTGAGGTAAAACTGAAGACAAAGTTGCCTACACACTGGTCAGCACGGAAAAGTGCACAGAATGTAGCCATCATCAATTGGGTAAGCATGGATATACCAAGCCCAGCGGGGGCTGAGATAGGGCAAACCCTCTTGAAGCCCGGGCAAAAAATGGATATACCAGGTTACCAAGTTAAATATATGTTAAATATGTTAAAATGAATCCTTTGTGTTTGTGCATCAATCGCCCTAGTTCTTGATTTCAA